CGGAAGAGCTTGGGAAAGGAAAAAAAAACAATTTAATTAACATTTTATGTAAAAGCATAGTTAAATTTAATAATATATAATTAAAAATAGATGATTGGTTTATTGTTCTGGTTGCTTCAATCCTAGAGTCCCTCAACGACAACCACCTTACATTTTTTGTTATTTTATTTATTTATTTTTTTCTCGGCAACCAAACAGAGAGAATTACGTTATCTTTATATATATATATATATTTTTTTTTCTCATCCAATGATGTTGACCGCGAAGCCGAAGAGTCTACTTGGTGAAGCAGCTGAATGGGTACGGCTTCATTAGCCGATGGGGGACCTTGAGACCGGTGATAACCTCTCTATTGGATAGCACAATCTCATTTACCAAACAGTCCCCTGCACTTTTAGCATATTACTATCATAATGTAGCTCCATTGGAATTCGCAATATATATATAATATTACATAAATTAACTCTTACACTGCGATTCTTTTCTACCGCGGTGAAAAGTTTTACTCCACTTGTCTCTAGAACTCTCTCTCCTCGAATTTGACTTCAACTTTCCACGCTCGCGTCTTTTTTTATTATTATTATAATTTATATTATATGACCCCATGAAAACTGGAAATCTCTAGTGTTTTTTAACGTTATTTTATTGCATGGACCGTAGCATTTAATATACTAACGATTCAAATGGATATTGACATTACTATAAGCTAAAGGCGACGAATTCCTTTATGTTGGTGTTACCGTTGTTTATTGATTTCTAAGGTGTGGTCCGGTCAGGTTGGGATCCCAATAGTGGACACACAATTTCTTTTAAAAACAGCACAAGTATATACAAAATTATGATGCTGGTTCGTGTTCATCACACTGCATAATGACCCTCTCTATACTTAGATTTTCTTAATTGCCCAATGTGGTAAGCCTAATAACCCTACATTCTCCATTGAGTCATTACATTGGACCACTTGGTTGAATAATACATTCATATAGCATTCATGTACTATAAAAAGTTAGTATATATAGTACATGAATGCTTAAGTTTTTTAATTGTAATTTTAAAGGAAAATAAGGTATTAATAGATTATAGAATAGCAATTTTAACTTAAATTAAGACATTTTAACAATATTCCTCAGAAAAGTTTTTGGTTTATATGAAAATATTATTTGCTCGTATCAAAAACACCCAAGAATAAAAACGTTACATCCTATTATAACAACATTAAATATTGTTCCAAGTGTTGCTTTCACGTGGTTTGATGCAATTATATTGTCCAATACAATAACAAATTAGTCACATCCTTGCGAAACTAAACAATTGAAGATTAGTGGTGCGTGTATATATATGTATATATATAACCTTATATGTATTTTCCTATCCCCCTTGGTTCCCACTTCCCACAACATGACTTCAACTATAATTATGTCCAGTGGCATTCGTGAAATTTATGACGAAGGTGAAGCCCACGAAAGGAAAAAGACATAATCATACATCAAGAAACATGAAATGCTTATCTCTTGATTTGACACCTACTCCTTCCTCTCCCCTCCTTATATATCGCAAGTCTTCCTCATCCCCCCAACAACAACTTCTCACGTTACATCAAAAGCGAGACAATATAAAAAGCAACTGAGAGGGAGAGGGAGAGAGAGAGAGAGAGAGAGAGAGAGATGGATGATCATATGGAACTCATCTCTCAGTTGTACCACGGTGGCTTCAGCCAAATCGCTCCTCGACAAGGTTCGTCCAAGTTACAGTATCTTATTTTGATGAGTTCCTGAAACTGGAGAGTCTCCACTGATCTGCTTTAACAAAAAAAAAGTGCATGCGTAATTGTTTATTAGCTGCCCAAGAATTATACTTTATAGAGATCTTCTCCACACCCAACACAAGAAACAAAGACACGCACTCTTATACATCCACATATATATCTATACGTGTGATGTACCATCGCCCACGTAAATCCATATGCATATATGTGTAAAGTGTACATGCAAACACACTTTGAAGGCAATAAGAGCACATATAGAGAGAGGAAAGGACTACACTTGTGGCTAACAAGCCGTCTGATACACCACAAACGAGTAGACTACAGGCCTTTTGTTAACATCATTACATTAGTCAAAGGTGTTTTTCTCTTGATTCATCTTATTCTCATGCTAAGCAGGGGAAGCAAAGCCACGGAGGAGTAGGAGGAGGAAGAACAAAGCCAACGCAGAGGGAAGCAGTAATGGAGGAATGATGAGGAAGAGGAAGCTGAGTGAGGAACAAGTGAGGATGCTCGAGATGAGCTTCGGGAATGAACACAAGCTCGAGTCGGAGAGGAAAGACAGGTTGGCTTCGGAGTTAGGGCTCGACCCTTGTCAAGTTGCCGTCTGGTTCCAGAACCGACGTGCTCGCTGGAAGAACAAGAAGCTCGAGGAAGAGTTCAACAAGCTCAAGACCCTCCATGAAAACGTCGTCGTCCAGAAGTGCCATCTCGAATCTGAGGTACCCTCCCTCTCTCTCTCTCTCTCTCTCTCTCTCTCTCTCTTATTTTATCCGTTTTAGTTGTACTGTATATATATATATATATGTATATTTGTAGGAGGGTTTAACCATGGTTAAGTGGACCAAGGAGATCATGAGATTGAAAAATAACAAGTTTCTTAACGTTTTTCAAATGTCATAAACACTTTCATGCATTTTTTTTTCCTTTTTATCTCCATAATTTTTTTCTACGTATTGGGAGACTTAAAATGTTTTATGTACTTTGATATATATAACATTTCCGAGTTTGATAAATAAATATTTCGGATAATTTGAAAATTACTTCCATATTTATAACTTATAATCATCCATAATATAAAAACTCGAATGAGCACACGGCTCGAAGAAAATCGGTGAGTGAACTCAGTGAAGTAGTCTTAGTTTAAAAAAAAAAAGAAGACGTAAAAATCAGACAGAAAGTGGGGATGGAAAACATGACATTGACAATGAACAGAAAAATGCCACCTCATTACACAACACAAAAGTGCCCTACGTGTTCCAATCACGACACGTTTCCGTACACACTTTTCTCCCTCTTTTTAATTTTATTGTAATGGTGGCTTCTTATTTATTTGGGCCATAACCCACTTACTCCCCTAATTAAACGGGGTTAATTACCACTAATCCGTGGTGATTAATTTAAATGTTTTGCAGGTTATTCAGCTGAAGGAGCAATTGTACGAAGCCGAGAGAGAGATCCAACGGCTGGCAGAGAGAGCAGTGGAAGGAGTTTCAAGCAACAGCCCAACCTCATCCAACGACGCACCGTTTCCCGGGGATTTCCAAGTGGACAACGATTACGATGATTTGATCTACGCACCCCCACATGGTTACACCGCTGGGATGGAATGGATGATTATGTATGTGTAATTATTTAGATGATTAACTAACTTGCTAAGCTAATGCTTATTTAGGGTATATGTAATTCGTAGGTGTAGATATACGATTACTAGCGTATGAGCAATGTCTGTCTTTCTATAGAAACGGCAATAATTTGTCATCCCATTGTAAGATATGCACGTCACAAGAATATTAATTAAATAGGGGCATTATTAAAAATACCATACATTTGTTATTTTGATTTCAAGATATATCTTTCTCTAGCTGTGACTTTGTGATCCATATGACCCGAAATATAATCTTGGTCACATTGGATATAACGTTAAATTTATGATGATCATATCCATTCATTATATTCATACCTTAAATATCCCACTAATTATTTGATAAAAATATTAAAAATTTAATGTTATGATCAATATGACTAAGATTATATTTAGGGTCACATGGGTCACAAGGTCACAGTTGGAGAAGAATATATCTTGAAGTCAAAATAACATATTATTTTTTATATGATACCAATTAATTATCATTTACCCAAAAAAATAAAGAATATTAATTATCCAAATGATACAGATTCCACACACGCACATATATATATATATATATATATATATATATATATATAGCAAATAAGCCTGAAATAGACCCATTAAGTTTATTAGGCCCAATAATGGACCCATCGCATCCTCTGCCATTGTAAACTCGTAATTCCATTGGTAAGCCTAATTAAACTCCAAATAATTGCGTTATAATTAAATTTAACAAACCTTCGTTTCTTTAGCTACATATGGTCCGAAAAAAACAATTTTTAAAAAAATATAATTCGGAATATCAACAATTTTTAGTCACAACACAACACTGGTCAACCATTATACAACTGTACTTCAACATATAAGGTTCAATCATAGGATCGGTTTCTTATCATTTCCATTCCACATGCGTGATAGTTACATGCTTTTAATTAAACGTTTCAATTAATGAAATCGGTCCATGATTTATTAGAAAAACGCTTAAACAAATAGATTTGAGCCATAAATAACAATACAAAAATCTGAAAATATTCAACAAGGCATACATTTAATTCCATAATTCAATATGCATTTGTTGCGTATCTTTTATTTGCCCGACAATTAGATCTATAAAAGAATAGAGAAAAGACGACAAAAGAAATACCACACAACTTTCGGTTGGTTGGTTTGTAAATAAAGATATTATTATTATTATTATTATTATTATTATCCAATAAAAGTGCGAGAGGGATGAGTCACACAAACCGAAGCTGCCGTGTCAAAACCTTATCCAGTAACACGTGTACACCTGGATTCTCTCCCTCGCACGTGTCGTCCCCTCCAAACCCTAATCCCCCAAAGACGTTCCTCTCTCTCTATCCCTCCTCCTATCGGACTTCGCCACACCAGATCGCAGAATCTCATCCTCTCTTCCTTTTTTTTCCATCATCTGTTTTTTTTTTCCGGCGAGATCCGTTGAATCAGTGAGAATCCGGTCGAAGAAATTCAACGGGAGTTGGTCTGTTTTTTTTTCTGTTCTTCGATCTCCGACGGAATTTGTGGGCCGTCTGATCTGTCGAAGTGGAGGAGGACGTGTCTTGGATCTTTTATTTTGTCTCTCTGCATCTTTGTCGCATCCTAGCTGGACTTCCACCTCATGCCATGAGAGCTGGTTCGTCTCCTTGTTCCTTTTTATATCTTTTCTCTCGATCCGCACAATCGCACGCATGCACATGTGTATACTTACAAATCTTATGTGAGAATTGCATGTTGTTTAGTCCGGGAACGATTTTACAAGTAGAGATTTGGTTTGGAGATGTAGGTTGAACTTGAAATTCGTATATACATATGATATGTGTATGCGTTCAGGTATCGTGCTTGGAGTTTCTGCTTTAACAGAGATTTTCCGGTTAATTTAGCTTTGATAGTTACTTCTTGTGGAAATTTCTCTGGGGATTTGGAATCTAACTTGTCGTCTATATAGATAATTTTTTTTGGTACTGTCGCGTCTACCGAATGTTGATTATCTCTTTATGATCCTGATTCTCGAATCTAACTTGTCGTACGCTTGCGTGGCTCAACAGTTTAGAATTACCATAAATGAAAGGTGCTTCATTTTGTTCTGTTTATTTCTTGTGAAATTGCATCACAAGGACATTGCTTTCGTACTGGGTTTTTGTTTCTAGTGGGTATTGTTCCTGGTTTGTGTTGGATGTGGGTGGTTCTTGTCCTGTTCTGAGACTGGACTAAGAACGATTTGGTTTGAGTTGGATAATGAATCTGACTTTGTGGGTTTGATCCTTTCAGGTGTATCGTAGATCCTCTGTTCAAGTTGTCTTTCTTTAGTGTAATAAGCAAAACCATCTCATAAACAATGAGTACTGGCAAGGAAAGCACGCCTTCAAAGCCTTCGAAACCACCATCTTCAACTCAGGTACCAAAACATTTTCAGGAAGTCGTTTCATATGCTTCTATATTATATTTGTATCGTTAGTTTTATTTCATCTACCTCATCCGTGCAGGAAGTACCTTCCACGCCATATCCAGACTGGACAAGCTCAATGCAGGTTCGTGCTATGTATATAACTTCTGTTGCAATTCATCGCAATCCTCATATTGCTTTCTTAATCAGAGCATGGTGTGGTTACTGAAACTAATTGTAACACTCACAATGTAGGCCTACTATGGAGCTGGGGGTACTCCACCTCCTTTTTTCCCATCGCCTGTTGCATCTCCAAGTCCTCACCCATATATGTGGGGTGGCCAGGTAGTTGCCATTCCGTTTTGAAATGCCGAAAGACCTTTCATTCTTGCCAGTTTGAGGGTAATCCCTTCTCTGGTTACTTCATTTTTTTTTTCATGTTGTCAATAATTTTCAGCATCCTATGATGCCACCTTATGGGACTCCAGTTCCGTACCCAGCTATGTATCCGCCCGGCGGAGTCTATGCCCATCCTAGTATGCCAATGGTAACCTTAAATCCGCTACATGATCTAAGTCACCCTTTCAACTTATATGCTGGGGGTATGTATGTGCATACATATATGACGGGCTGAGGAATTTTGCTTGGCGATCTGCTGTTGAAGGTACATAATTCTGCTCCGGCTAACATCGAGAATGTTGTGAAAGACCAAGCTTCTGCCAAGAAATCAAAGGGGGATCAGAAAGGAAAGGGTGAAGGAGGTGAGAAGGCGGCTTCTGGTTCAGGCAACGATGGTGTGTCCCAAAGGTGCTTCTAGATTAGCAGTTTCCTGTTTCATGTGTTTGTGTTTGATTATGTAAACTTGATCATCGACTTTTTTGTTATCTGATCGTGATTTCTTTCAGCGATGAAAGTGCAACAGAGGGTTCGTCTGATGGAAATGGCGAGAATGCTAACCAACAGGTACCGATCAATCCTAAAAGTGCCATTGAATCACTAAACATAAACCATTTGTGAAATTTGATGGTCGGAATTGATGTTTGATATAGGAGCAAGGTTCTAGCAGAAAGGGAAGATTTGAACAGATGCTGGCAGATGGTGAGGTTTCCTCGTCCGAAACCAACATGGTTTCTCTCAGTGTCCAGTTGTATTAGGTGTTTTGTTTCTTGACCCATAATAGTTTCCTTAGCAGCGAGTTCTCAGAATAAAACTACTGGTGCAGTCCAAGGTTCGATGCCCATGAAGCCGGTTGCCCCAGCGACTAATCTTAATATCGGGATGGACTTATGGTCTTCTGGAGGAGCTGCAAAGATGAGACCAAATACTTCTGGTGCCATTGGTGTTGCCTCCGAGCAATGGACAGTATGAATCTCCCTCTCTGTTTCGCCGAGGAAATATTTTCTCCCTTTCTGATGTTTAACCAACACCTGGGCTTTACCCGTAGGATGAACGAGAACTCAAGAGGCAGAAAAGGAAGCAATCTAACCGCGAATCTGCAAGGAGATCGAGATTAAGAAAGCAGGTAAAATCTCATTACCCATCTATCTTTGGGAAAATTTTTTCTAATGTTATCTTCGGCGGAGAATCGAGCAATTACACACTTTGATTACCGAAACAGGCGGAATGCGAGCAGCTTCAACAGAGAGTAGAAAGCTTGACGAATGAGAATCACGGCCTGAGAGAAGAGCTTCAAAGGCTCTCTGAGGAATGCGAGAAGCTTAAGACGGAAAACAACTCCATCAAGGTAACCCGGTACAAAACAAAGAAGCTTCTAGAAAGAAAATACTTTTTTTTTAAGTGTGACCCATTATTAAACAGGTAAACCCACGTTTTTATTACAGGACGAGTTGACAAGATTGTGTGGACCCGAGGCTGTAGCTAATCTAGAACAGACTGCCATGTCTGGAGGAGCAAGTGTTACTAAGGACAGTGAAGCAAAATAGCTAACAGTATCCAAGTAACAACACATAGCTTATGGGATCATTGGGAATTCTCACAAGTAGTACGGTTCTTCTGTGTTATACACTATACAGTCTTTGACCCTTTTTAATTTGTAGACGTAGCAGCATCGATCCAACAGATTAAACTCGAAAACACCAAACTGTTGTATGATTAGAGGGACATTAGATATTTACCGAATAGGAATCCATCAGTCTTCATGTTCGGATTCCGAATCTGAATTTGTTGCCGTCTGTGGTGCGCTGCTTTGGTTCGAGATTTGTCCTTGCGGTTCATTTGGATGACTGCTACTACTACCCCTTACTGTTGAAATGACAAACCATGAAGAGTTTGAAAAGCAACAACAAAAAAAAAGAGAATTTTTTTATCGAACGAACTCACGTGATTCAATCATTCTGATATACACTGCTTTGGCAAACCGGATTTCTCCTTGGTGCGCTGTAACGATTTTGACCTGCAAAGTTTTAAAGATATCAGTTTGCTCTCCTGTAACCATATCTATTAACAAAGAGTTAAGCTCATGACCGTACCATTTCATCGTACGTAGCATCTACGAGTTTGTCCACTCGAGCTTGATGCTTCAAAAAGAATGGACGGAGATGGTGGTTGTATATTTGTTTCGCTCCCTGTTGCGTGTAGTTTCATCTAAACGGTCAGATGCGAATAAGCAAAACCCAAAACCCAACAACTCAATATGGCATATGATATGTATTGTACAACACTACCTCGAAGGTAGGAAGTTGAAGCCAAACAAGGAACGCAAACTTCACGTGATAATACAGCGGAAACCTGTAAAAACGATTGCATTCACATGTTTGAATAAATGCGGCTGCATATCTGCAATGTATCAGTGTGTATTCAAGTGTAAAGGATGGCATATTCTCTGCAATTGGCAAGCAGTATAATTTCCCAAGAACAACTCAGTAGTGTTTCTGTTCGTCGGGCCGAGAGTTCAGAAAATACAGCTACTTCCTAAGGATATGGTATTGCTCAAGGAATTTCATCAAAATGGAAAGATGTAAACACGATGAGAGGTAACAAATGATATGTCTAAAGACCAAACTGCCAAACTCATCGAGACAGAAACAGGTACCAAGAAATAAGTTTGTCCGCAAACACTTCCGCAAGGCTGAACGTCCCATAAGCTGCAAAGAAGATGAAGATCGCAAACTCATACATCACAACTATAATTACATATTCATTTTAACAGGCACCAGTGTAATGGACTAGATTTCTTAGAGAAAATAACACATAAGGGTTCAAGAGATGAGAAAACGAATCAGAATGGTGACAGAGAATCCAGACCTGCCCAATATATCAGCCATTTTTGTTGTTCATCAGGGTCTTTCTTCTCGATGGCTTTGATGGTTGAGTAGACAGGTATCCCGATGCCAATGGAGCAGCTGGACGAAAGATGATTCAGTCACCACCATATCTGAATTTCCTATTACAACATCTAACCAACAACAGGTTGATAAACTCACCATGCCGTTCGAAGAACTATGTTGGAACCAATCGGAGAGAGAATTACTCGTAATCCTACCTGATCCCACCAAAAACAACCAAATTTCCAATTCAATCACATACATAAGCAAAACGTCAAGAGAGGCATTAAAGCGATCTGAAACTCATCGTTTCTGAAACCAGAAACTCAGAATCATAAAGGAAGAGGCACAAATTCTCTCGTCATTTTCAGATAGACCAGTAATTCTTTCCTAAAGATCCAAAGTTTATGATGATCAGACAACCGCAGGAACACTTGACAGCAAGTTCTTCGAGGAACAAAACTCTGCCCCAACTGCAAACTCATTCATTTTTCACAACTCCAAGCCGGGACTCTCATCCAATACATGTCAATACAGAATCAAATACACAGTAAGATCCCATCAACTCGAAATTCAAAACCGATCGCCACAGACTATAAACGAAGCCGAGAAAGGAACGAAACAAAAAGCGAAAAATTTGACCAAATCAAAATCTGCTAAAACAGAGAATCTGACAGAGAAATTGCGTTCATTACCTCGCTAGCGAAGCCTGATCCGAGAAACGCCATGGATGAAATCTGAGAAGCGAAAGTTAATACAAGATTGACGAATTTCGTTACCCGTGCACAAAGCAGCGCAGTTCCGGGAATCTTTTGCACACTCGGAAGGAAAAAAGGGTCTCGGAATTGGGAACGCAGAGAAAGACTCTACTTCGGTTAGAGGTTCATGTAATAATATTTAAACATCTTTCTTTATTTCTTTATTGAAAAGGAAAGAGAAACCAAAAAGCCCAATTTGAAAAAATAAAATAAAACAGGGGACGGATATAATTCCTTTCTAATAATTTAACCAACCCACTAAAGGTTAAAAATCTACACTTCCCGGCCCGGTCCGGCGGTGCGGTTATTTAAAACCGCCAAGCTGACGTGGCAACAAGAGCCCTCCCATGCCAGCAAAGCACCAAGTCGGCCTGTCGTTTCGCCACGTGGAATCCTCTCACCTGGGCCTTCTCCAGTAGACACTCGGCTTGGAAGTTAGCGAACTGGCTCAGCGGGATCTGCCTCATCCCGGCGGCGCAGAACGCCTCCCGCCATGTCATCTCTCCGGCGTTCCTCGCTGCCGCAGCCTCCACCGCTTCCGAAATCCTTGGCCGCAGCACGAACGCCTCTATGATCTTCTTCGTCCACTCTCCTGGAGGCACGGCGGCGTCGAGCGAATCCAGCACCATCGTGTAAAACTCGAGAAGACCGACGAACTCTCGCCGGAACGATCCGGATCCGGCCGTCTCCGTCCATCCCTCTCCGTCTACGAAGACGACTACCTTCTGGGATACCCGCCGGAGATCGTTGACGAAGCTAGGGATTCCTGTCAGGCGACGAAAAATTGCTGGAGAGAGCAGAACGACGGTCCTCTCTCCCTCCACGAATCTGATCGCCTTAAACGACAACATCTCGAAGGTTCTCATGAGGACAAACTCGATCTGGAATCGTATTTTCAGATCCGCCGCAAACTGAGCGAGATTCTCCTTGACGAGCCTCGTTTCGACGGCGAACTCCTCCGGAACCACCGCCGTGACCCTCAGAAATCCGCCGTTTTCTGAAGATTTCTCGGCGATCTCTCTCATAAGCGACGCGTACTGACCACCGAATCCGATCTCAAAGTCCACCACGTGGACGAATGGCGACGAAGATTGCCAATTCAGCGAATCGAGGATCGCTTGGTTCGCGGTGAAATGAGAGAACAGAGGAATCGGTGAGATTCCAGAGAACTCCTTGTACGCTCGGATCCTCTGAACAATATCGGACCACGACGATAACCGGGTCGGATTCCTGGTAGAACCGGTTAAAACCGACCCGAGAGCTTCCTTGAAGTAAAAGGCAGCTCTCTGTAGGGGTCTCCCCGACGGAGATCTCAGACGTTGATTAAGCCGTGCCAGTACCACCTGTGCGAGCTGTAACTCTTCTGATTGAACACAGTCAACGACTCGGATCAGGTCCTCTATGAAATCGAATCCTCCATTAACGAAACCGTCGGAACCATCGACGGAATTGAGCCCGTAACCAACTCCGACCGGATTACCCGAATAGACCTCGGATGACCCGAAATCCACCGGGTGCAGCTGGTCGGGAAAACCATGAAGCTGGGAATCGACGCCGTAGTGTGTCGGAACAGCAGCAGCGGCAAAACTGGTCTTGAGGGCAGGGGCAGAATCGTCATCTAACTCCAATTCCCTCATGATAGAATCCCAATCCATGGAACGCATCACATGGTCGTCCAACGGAAACTGCTCGGAGACCTGACCGGTGTTACCTCCTCCGACGGATACCAACGACGCAACTTCCACCGGAGGCTTTTCCGCGATGGCGGCGGGGCTGGGGCTTCCGCGGAGGTCGAGCACCGAGGTGGGCTCGCCGAAGCCGAGAGTCCTCCCTGCGTTTACAGCAGTCGTGCTGTTAGTATTGTCGGCTTGGTTTGTCGTGGTGTTGCTGTAAGATGCAGATTTCGTGTCCGAAGGTTGGTTGTCCTGAGGAGACGATGGCGGCACTCTCATATCTCGGGAGGCGAAGTTGTGAAGAAGAAGAAGAAGAAGAAGAAGAAGAAGCAATAGATGTTCTTTTGCTTTCTCTTTCTGTTTCTGTGTCTTTTTTTTTTTTTTTTTTTTTTGGTTTTGGAAAAGAGGGGGGGGGAGGGGGGGGGGTTTTTGGGATGGTTTATTTGATATCTACTGTATGGCAATAAATGGCGGAAGTGGTTATAAGGTCTCTGCAGAGGATTCGTTACATCTTGTTGAAGCCCTAAGGTATAGCATTTTACATCTATTTTGTCAAGTCCATGCAGCCCCATAATTTTTTTTTTTTTTTTTTTTTTGGCGTTTGGAAAAGATGGAGGAGGAAGCGGGGGGGCTTTTGGAAGGTATGATTGCGCGCTTTTTATCTTTGAGTTTGTGCATGCATGGAGCGACTGCCGTTAACACATGGCTTTATTTCACCGGTCCGAAATTTATTTGGTAATATCTATTCAAAATACAAGATTTAGTCGGTCTATTTGAAAATAATAACGTCTCGATATGATTCAATTTAATTTTCCTACATGATTGGACAACAAATTATCTGACGATTCCTCGTACACACATTTTATAGTTTAATCGTCATTTTGTGTCTATAATAAAATTGAAATGAAACAAATAATTATCACTGCGAAATCTCAAACTGAAATAAGAGACGCTACATTAAAAAGGTCCAAACTCCAATGTGTACATTAGCAATTAACTATTTAACTAGTCAACAAGTATATCATTCAATATGTTGTCCTTCCGAATAATAAACAGACTTCATGGAAACTTTGTCTAAATCATGTAATTTATGAATTTATGATACACACTCTCAATCGACATAAAATCATTCGCATATACATATATACATATATACATATATAACGATTCATGTAAAGCAAAAGACTTACTAAATTTGTCAATGGTGTACGTGAACCATGAAGTCGATGTACAATACATGGAAGTAGTAAATTGAGATGAAAAAATAGATTCTAAAAATGCGAAAAAATCCCAATCAAATCAAAACACATGCCGTAGTAACTTCTGGTTTTAAGTACGAATCACACTGTCGTTTCCACTGAGATCGTGTGAAAACTGAAAAGTGGATCGACGACCAAAAAAAAGGGACCAACGACGATGTTCATGTGGGTCCCACGTTCGGCACTTCTGACCCACAATGGGTCCACAAGAAGGATTTATTGTTGGGGAAATGTGTTGGAGGCCCATGGGCCGTAGGATATATATCCGTACAAATCGATTTTGACAGATCATCATCGTCCAGTGCGTAAAACACACGCGCCACGTACCCCCCCCCTCCATTTTCTCCTCTCTCTCTCTCTCTCGTTTTTTGCGGCGATGAGAGAGACGGAATATATTCTCTTCACTGATTGATTTCACGAGGGGAAATCCGTCCGTCCATTTTCTGACGTCTCAGAAAACGAAATCCATTTATTTATTTATTTATTTTTATTTTGTAAAAAAACGTCAACATTTAATACAGGTGTGATCATATGTACAAAAGACATGAATTTATTTGATACACACATACAATATTCATATACTATGAAAAAAGACCGATACAAACCATGGAGCTAATATCTTTAATATATATTTTTTTTGTTAAAGTTTGTACCGAGAGAGAGATTCGAAACATGTAAGGGTTTAGTAGTATCAGAAAAAGATATATAAAAAAGAAAAAAATAATTTACATTTATTTAATCACAAAGGGCTGTCATTCGTCCAAATGATTATGAGGCGTTTCGGTATCCGGTCCAAAGGGTTATGGAGTACGTTCTCCAACTTATACAGCAAAAAATCACAAAACACATTATAAAGCTTGCAACAACAATGTTCTCATACAACTTTTTTTTATAAAAAAAAACAATGTTCTCAGCATTAAATGTTTTTTATATTGTTTGGTTATTTTAATTAACGTCGATCATGTGTTTTTGTGGCTCTTAGCTTAATATATAAAACAATATATATAACAGAAAAAAGTGGATTTTGGTGGTAACTTTTTTGTTATTAGACTAATCGGTATAGCCCACATTTTTTTTCACTTTATATTGAATTTTAAATTTGTTCGGCCTGCAAAACATGGGATCCAATGATATTCTGATAATCCATGTAAATACATGCATTACATTCAAAGCTCGGCTAATTTTCACCTTTTAATCAGTTTAAAAAATCGAAAGTAATCAAATAAAAACAAAAAGGTTAGATATATATATATAGATGGCATATTCTCTGCAATTGGCAAGCAGTATAATTTCCCAAGAACAACTCAGTAGTGTTTCTGTTCGTCGGGCCGAGAGTTCAGAAAATACAGCTACTTCCTAAGGATATGGTATTGCTCAAGGAATTTCATCAAAATGGAAAGATGTAAACACGATGAGAGGTAACAAATGATATGTCTAAAGACCAAACTGCCAAACTCATCGAGACAGAAACAGGTACCAAGAAATAAGTTTGTCCGCAAACACTTCCGCAAGGCTGAACGTCCCATAAGCTGCAAAGAAGATGAAGATCGCAAACTCTTGATGGAGGTGCGTACATGGGATGGGGACCTAAGAAAGTCAAATACTTAGGCGGTAAGGAAGATCGATATAACACATACGACACACGATCGATGAAAGCATGATAAAGAGAGAAGCTTCAAGCACACAAAAGCAATGGCGGGGTTGGGGGGGAGAGAGAGAGGGTGTTTTTGTTTCCAAGATTCCCATTTTTTTTTCCAAATTTTTACCAAAAAAAATAATAAAAAGATTGCCCCCATATCGAACTCCCACTCCAAAAGTGCATGACAGAAAAAAAAAAGGCCATAAATAAAGAAAGGTTGGCAAAAAAATCGATTTCGGGAGTTGTCTAAATAATAATAATTATAATAACAAGAGATATTATCAAAAATTGACTTCAATCTATGGTAATTATATTGGTAATAACTTTAAATTTATAATGATCATCACGCTAATTCACTATATTCACTTCTTATATATTACACTAATTATTTGATAAAACTATTATAAATTTAACTTTGTGACTAATGTAACCACCATATGGTCATATTGTAATTCTAGTCACATGATCGGAGTTGAAGAAGTGGATGAGTTGAAATCAAAATAATATATGAGAGGTATTTTTGATATAATACCTAACAATAACAACTAGTAATCGGTGCATGTATACATGCGGCATGATTTCATCTAATACGGTCGATCCATATTCATCGTGTATATACACATGCATGAGGGATTTCGTGGGCATTAATTAGATATCAATAATTCAAACGTAACAAATATTTTATAACAATATTAAACTTGGAAAAGAGAAAAGAAATGTGAAAGAAGGGGGGTCTTCTATCTTGTAAGGCAATAGAAAGCAATCCACCATGAGAGTAGTCACGACAAGCTTTTTCTTGCATGGGGGATCCCTTTTGTGGGGATACGTTGGGTATTTTAATTAGCCTCCCCCCCGGAGAATATTTTACTTTTTTTTTTTACCTTTTGATTCATTTAGTCTCTTTCACTTTCTCATATATGTCTAACCTTTTCTTTTCCTTTTATAAGAAATGCAATTATAATAATTTATTAATGTTCAATTGCCATGTTTGATTCTTGGAAAAGTTTTCCTAATAATTTTTTATTTGTAACAGTATGATTAGGTTGTAACGAAATTTAAATGCATTTTTTTAGCAGATATGATCACGAGGACCGATAAAAAAAGCTTTTTTTATGGTATAATTACACGATCGTTTTGAAACAATTGACAATTAACTGTTTTTTTTCAATGTACATAGTGGAATATTGATTCCATTGTTAGGAGCGAGATGTATGGACCGTTAAGGACCATATATAAATATATGGTAAAGGTGAGATATACACATTAATGTGATGTATTGTACTAGTCCACGGTTATGAAATATTCTTCTAATATTGTGCCTCCCCCACTTGTGCTTACATCGACACAATTGCTGTGGTGAACCGTGAATTTACATTTTACAAAAAGAGAGAGAGAGAGAGAGAGAGAGAGAGAGAGAGAGAGAGAGAGAGAGAGAGAGAGAAGAATCTAAGAGATTTTTTTAATTCACGGAGTGAATTTATCTCACAGTTACTTACGGCCCAAAACTCGAACAGCTTGGGCCGATCGGTCCAATATGGATGAACTGTCAACGTCCAATAAGGGGGGTGTATTATTTTTGGCATATAATGGTTGTTATTAAGGCTCGGATCGGTTATATTTTTGTTCGTTTGTATTTTTTAGTTGTATAAAATTATAGTTATTGATTTTTATGGATTTAATATGATTTCAGTTGTAAAATCGTTTATTTTTATATTTGATATGTTTAAAAAAGTTATGTGTAATTGGTTTTGAAGCCGGATTTAGTTTTATATATTATGAATTCGATGTAAGTCTAACAGTGAATTTACGACAAGCATTTAAGTAATAAAATAACAAATACATATTCTTACGTAAATATACAAAAATGCTATTCAGATCGCGAATTAGACTGCGAGGTTACATTGGCATCCCGACATAAACTCCGCATGTCAACTGTTCACACAATTATTAGAAAAACAGAGAAATAAAAATATTATTAGCTGGACCTTGTAACTCGGTCTTGGCATTTAGCGGTAGAATAGAAACGATCAAAGCCCATCGATAAAGAAAAAATCCCACGTGTAAACAATATCGTCCACGTGTCCATCCAGTATGACACGTGGCATGGGCCCTCTTCCCTCTCGTTTCCTTATATTATCTAACACGCTACTACGTCTTAGAAACAAACGAACGAAGCAGAAGCAGAAGCAGAAGCAGAAGCAGAAACTCGAATGATGGAGAAATTTACGGTTCTGCCACTCTGTGTTCTCCTCCTCCTCCTCACTATCTTCCTCTGCTCGGAGGCCTCGGCCCATAATGACGACGCGCTGTGTGGATTTCCGGTGGTGACGAGGGATCAACGGACGATAATCGTCGAGACGGAGTTAGGGGAAATCTCGGCCGTCGAGATCAATGACGGATGCGGAATCAGAGGGAAACACCACATACATTTCATAACGCTGGATCCTAACGCTCTCTTGCTTCCTGTTCTTCTCCACTCCGACATGGTGTTCTTCGTACACACAGGTGATGTCCTGTCTTATCGCCGTATACACGCATATTCATTACTAAAATCAAGATTAGACGTTTCAAACTATTAAAGGGTTTGTTTTTTGGCGTGGCGGGGCCATATAGGAAGTGGAAATCTCACTTGGGTCGACGAAGACAAGGAGACGATGACCGAAATAAGACGAGGGGACGTGTACAGGCTACGTCCCGGTACGATCTTCTACATACAGAGCAACTTGGAAACGGAGGTCAGAGAGAAACTTAGGGTTTACGCATTCTTCTCCGGCAACGAGGCAAATATATACGTAAGACATAATCTTTCATTTCATGTGTTGTCAGATTTGTAGCTCTTTGTTTTGTTATTTTCATGGATGAATTTGTGGATAATGTAGGATCCGTGTTTCGGACCGTATTCGAGTATTAGAGAGCTCCTGTTTAGCTTTGACGAGAGAATTCTCCGGGCAGCCTTTGCGGTATGCGTTCATATACAATGATCATGTGACTATGTTTTGCTGGAGTGATAACGTGAATCTTTTAAGTAAGCTTCACGTAAATTGAATGGTTTACGACGTGGAAGGTCCCTGAAGAGGTTATCGAGACGCTAAGAAACGCGACCAAGCCGCCTTTGATAGTACAAGGGTTGACGAAGAACAGAACAGAGGGATCCGAGGATTACTCGTGGCAGCTCCAGTCCAGGTTCTTGAAGCTCTTCGTTGGAGATGAGGATGGTGATTTGGGATTGGACCCGATCATCGATATGACTAATAAGAAGAAGAAGAAGACGAAGAAGAGAACGTACAACGTGTTCGAAGCAGATCCCGACTTCGAGAACTGCAATGGTAGGAGCATCACTGTCAACAAGAAAGATTTGCATGCGTTGAAGGGATCTAGTGTCGGAGTTTTCATGGTCAATCTAACAAAGGTATACGTGCCCCCGTTCCATACATTTATGCATTTGATGCATTATGTTTCTCTCATCGTGTTCTTGTCTGTGAAGGGATCGATGATGGGTCCGCATTGGAACCCAAGGGCATGCGAAATATCGATCGTACTGAGAGGGAAAGGGATGATTCGGGTGGTGGGTTCGAGCGAAGAGATCATGAAAGAGAAAAAGTGCAAGAGCAAGAGGCTCATGGTCGGGGAAGGAGATGTTTTCGCGGTGCCAAGGTTTCACGCGATGGCTCAGATGTCATTTAACAACGACTCGTTCGTGTTCATGGGTTTCAGCACTTCGGCAAGAACGAACTATCCAGAGTTCATAGCGGGCAAGAGCTCGGTCTTACGGCTGTTGGACAGGAATGTATTGGCGGCGACGTTGAACGTGAGCAATAACACGACCGATCTGCTGTTGGGTGCCCAGAAGGAAGGGGTGATGTTGGAGTGCACGTCTTGTGCGGAGGAAGAGCTGGCCAGGCTGATGGAGGAGATCCAGCAGGAGAAAGAAGAAGAAGAGGCGAGAAACCGAGAGGGAGAGAGGAAGAGGGAGGGAGAAGAGGCGAGGAGGGAAGCGGAAGAGAGGGAGATGAGATGGGGAGGAAGAGGGAGATGAGGAACAGAAGCAGAAGCCCTGAAAGAAGATCTCATTTGAGACTTTGATGCTGAAAAGTTTCATACTTTAATCCCTGCAAGCGTTTTTCAGGCATCATGGCTTTAGATTTTGATGTTGTGTTCATTTTTTTTTGTTTTGTTTCAAAACGTGTCAGTTTTGGGTTGATGTGCGACGCTTTACGTTTTTGAATCGTCTTTTAATTTTATCGATATCCACGAGACGAAGACCCGAGATTCAAACCGACTTTGGCTTTGAATAATAATAAAGTGGGTTTGAATAAAAAAATAAAATAAAAAATCAATTTTTATAAATGAATGCCGTAGTCAATAAAAGCTGAAATTGGAACCGAATATAAATACATCGATACAAAACCAAAATAATTGAATCTAAACCAATGATCTGAGTAAAATTGGTTTTTTTTTGGTGAACCCAATGAAACCAAATTCCTTGTGATGGTTTCCGATTCGACCGGGTGAACCGCACCAAACAGTCTTCGCACTGCTATTCGACAAGATAATCAGTTAGTTGATTTACGATAATACCCCTGCGCACGTGTCCGTCTCGCGCGTGTGAGAGAAAGAGTAATCAAAAGGTGCCCTAGACTTTGAGTTTGTTCTACAACGGACGAAGCTCAAAAATCGCGAGAGGTCGAAAATATCCCAAGCCGAAGCTCGGGAAAGAGAGTGGAGATTGAGAAATAGTTGCAGCGACGGAGATGACTGACAACGGAGGACACAACGGCACCGGGACCTCCGTTGACGATTTCTATGGCGATGGTTCCTCTCCGCCGCCGCGAGATAGCGGCCGTGGCGTCGGGGTTGAGGAGTATAGAGACTCCAAATCTCAGGTTTGTACACTCTGATTCTGTTAGCTGATCTTATAATATTCATGAAATTGTCTCCACGGCTCCATGGTTGAAGGAACTTGGCCTTAGAGTTTCATAGTTATGTAGTTTCTGGGCTAAGATGTTGCAGTAGGGTTTTTTGATGAAGATCGTGCCCGTTATCTAGTGATGTTATTGTTTTAGGGAAATAGTTGTGATTAAAATGGATGAAGTTACAGGAATCTGTAGCCAGTGGTTTCAAATCGATGTTAGTTTGCGCGTTTCGGTTTTGTATTAGTTAGATGCTAGAGTCTTAGGTTAAAATAACTGAATAGGATAAAAATTAGAACTGATCCGATCCAAATCCAACTTTATAGGATTGAGTTCAGGAATTGATTTTATAAATCCGAAAAAATTTAGATCGGTTTGAACCTCAATTCGAAAACACTCGAATCAAACTTTTCTGTATCGAAGACCTACAACCAGACTTAAAAAGACTCCGCACTCTTCTTTTTTTTTGCAAAGTTTCTATTTTTCTATTTTGTCAATTTGACATTTTTTTTCATTTGGGAACGTTTTCAAATTCCAATTCTTAAGTTAGGAGGCACACACAATATGGGAGACGACAAGGAAGAACATGGTGGTGGTGCTAATGGTGATGATGGTAATTATGATTATGATGAGGAAGATAGTGATGAAAAAGGCCAGGAAGACAGTTACAATGACGAGGATGAATCTGAGGAAGGATATGAGATCGAGGGTAGAAGTGAAACTCCCGATAAATTTGAGCGCATCGAGTATGAAGCTCTGGCTGAGAAGAAGCGTAAAGCACTTTCTCAATGGTAAGTCATTCCATAATCCATATCAGTTTGCTGTACACGAGTACAATGATATAGGATGCTGTGACTATGACCATGTTACCGAGATTATGCAATTCACTGAACCAATTCTTCAAATTCCCTCACTGTTCCTACATTGATTGATGAAAGATATATTTTCCTAGGCTTTCTGTTTTACACTAACAGATGCAACGCACAATGTCTATGCACCTCTTAGTTGGCTTTCTGAGTTAGGTGCTACCTTTATGTTTCCTTCTCTCCATTTCTGAATGTCATTTGTTCCGTGACTATGACAGTGATGATTCTGAAAAGAGGGCTAAGTATGACGCTAATAATGTCCCAGGCATGGAAGGAATTATGGAGTTTATGGTTTATGGTGGCCGACGAAAATCAAGGAAGGTATGTTTCATTGACGAGCCAATATTCTCAAATCCCGAGATCATCTTGTTGCTTGCGGAGTAAAGTTTGATTCATCTGTTTATCCTAGATTGATTAATTCTTCGAGAATATATTCGAAATGCCACATTTTCCCATGTTACATCCAAACAAAATTATAGGTTTGAATATCATGTGTTTTATTTGTGTTTTGTTTCGTATTGTCCTTGACGTGTTACATCCAATTCTTTGTTCATTTTCCCATGTTACACTTCAATGAAATTATCATCTCCTGCGCTCTTACTGCGATCTTGTGCGACTAAATCTGTTGCAATAGGTTTTGCTGTTTTAAACTAATATTTCCTTATTTTCCTTAGCATAAAAGACGGGGAAGAAGAAAGGGTTCCAAGAAAAAAGTTCCACCTGAAATAACAAAAATTTATACAGAGGCTCTTTTTCACTATGGACATGGTCGGTTTAGTGAGGTGAGGGTTCTGTATTTTTTTTAAGTTTTTCTTTGTATTCTGAAATTCTTTGGGGTAAAATGTAAAACTGGAGAACACCAACTGATATTATGTTTAATGAAAACTATTACTAGGTTTGTCTTTATGTTTCCAAATAATATCCTCAATGTAACCCCTCAATATTGCATCCAAGTATGTGGATCTATCCGCATTAATGTGTTTACTTCTACTCAGGCTTTGTCGTGTTTGCAAAGGGTAATACATCAAGCACCAGGTTTCGCAGATGCATATGATACCCTTGCACTTGTTTCTGAAGCACTTGGTGAAACCAAATTAGCTATGGAGGGTTTCAAGTTACATGCAGCCGTTAGACGTGATTCATATTCCTGTAAAGTGCTTTTCGAGTGGTTCAAGTAAGTGCAGTTTGTTCATGCCAATCTTACTTTGCAACATCTTGTAAAGCAAAAACATTAAAAACGCTAAGTATACATATATGTGTATCATGAGTCATGCATGACTTATATGCTCGTTTGTACTAGATATTTTTGGATGTCAGAAAATTCGCCAACTGTTACGTTGTCTAGTGTTTAAGCTATTTTGATGTTGCATCGAATATTAAAAGTTTTTTCTTTCATTGCAGAACTTTAGATCTCTCCAAATTATTAAAGGAAATATCAATGGGTTATGCAATCAAATAAAACCATGGAAGAAAGTACAAAGTTGATATCAATTCAAGATTTTTACTGTTCTTCCTCTACAGGTTTTCCTCGAAAGATATGTTTAGGGAGAAAAAATAAAGTTACCTTTAGTGTTCCATCGTGCAGAAGCCTGTAGTCTTGTCTTCTTTCGATATTGTTTCTATTGAATCTTGTGCTTGACTTGAATAAATTAATAAGCAAAAGAAATATCTGATTTCAGGGAACAAGGGGATATGTCATCTGCAAGGACCTATGCATCCAAAGCAATACAGGCTGATCCAGAAGATATCTCTTTGAAATTTGAATATGCGACCTTGTGTCTAAATGCTGGAAAAGTTAGAGAAGCGGCGGAGTCCTATGAACAAATATTTCGCCAATGTCCTAATAGCGTTGATGCCCTAAAATGGGCTGCAAAGGTATATAGCCTTATTGATTGTTTATCAATCCTCATGTTTGATATAACTGTTTGATACATTTCTACTTTTGACAGTTAGTTCTTCTTTAGTCTGACTGAAGTATTTTGCTCGGTTTACTTAGCCAAAGTGTTAAGAACTCCTTGTGCAAAATAAGCCATTATTTGGCACGGTTGTCTTTTACTTAGTTGTCATGTTTATGATTGCTTTTACATCTTTTAGGTGGACAGAAATCTTTTACCATATTTTATGCAGTTAAACGCATATCGAATTTTTGTTTCATAAGCACTCAATAATGTCGCATGTTTTTAGGGGATAATGTTACACTTAAGTCCTCTAAAATAAAGACAACCTATAAATAATAGTCTCTTACCTTGACTTCTTCCTCTCTTGAGTCTTCACTTCACCTGTCTTTGTTGGTTTTTAGGAGAAGCGGCATTGTTTAAGTATAAATGTCTTTTTGCAGGCTGGTGCATTGTCTCTTTTCTTTATTGTCTTTTTGTGCACGTTTTTCTTGTTCTTGGTAAAACATTGAGGGGTCATTTGGTGGATCTGTTGTGATGTAGTTGTCAAGCTTGTGTAATAGTTTTTCTAAAATCTGTATGAAGTTTTCTGTTTTAAACTAAAAGTTATTGTACTTTGCCAAATCCATGATCCTGTTTGTCTGTTCCTTCACCTGATTAGCTTCTTGTTATGTCATGTATTCACAATATGTCCTGTTGTAGATGCTTACGTTGAAGTTCATTGTTACTGACAAGGCTGATTTGTCTTCCCATACCTAATTACCAGGATGCCACTTCTCAGCCACAGAAAAAAGAAAAACGAAAGGAAATGTTTTTGACTTTTGATCTTATGAACTTCATTATTTTTCTCTCTTCAGTATTACCTGGAATGTGGCGAGGGTGAGCGAGCAGCAAGTGTCTTGGAGGTTCACATTAAATCAAATCCATCTGAAGTTAGTCATGATGTGATTGATTTGCTGGCTGCGGTTTTCATGAAAATTAATGCATATGACAGAGCTCTTAAGTTTATGGAAGACATGCGCCAGACTTACCATCCCAGGAAAGAACTTACTTCTAACTTGAAAATCAGAGAAGTTATCTGTCACGTTCACCTTAAAGAACTGAAGATGGCTGAGGTTTGGATCCTTTTCTGTAGATTTGCTAGATACTGTTCCGGAAGATTTCCTTAGTGTTATTAAGGCGCTTTTGATTCTTCTGCTGGATAGGCTCACGTTCTGCATTGTTCCCCAAATTTAGAGGAGCCTGGAAGCCATGTAATATGTTGTGCATGAATTATAGTTGCCATATTTGCTTTATTTGGAAGCCAAGAATTAAAAAATGGAAGGGGAAAAGAGAAGAAGCCTTGTTAGGATGGTTGTACTTGTCTTTATGATTCTTACTTGTCATTTTTAGTGCCGGTTATTCTCATGATTCGCTTCTCAAGCTGATGTTTCACATTCTTTTGTCGTGTGAGTTATATTTGCAGTTGTTTTAATGTCTTCTCTGCACTTTGTTGTACACCTGTGGTGTCTTATAGCAATGATTTCAGCATTTGAATTGTACATTTTTTTTTAATCTTGTACCACCAATAGAAACTTTTGTCTGAGAGAGATTAAGATTTATCTGCTGAAAGTTTAATGCAAATTTGTTTTCTTCACTTAATCTGCAGAATCTGTTAAATATATTACCACAAAAGGCGGTATATGAGCATACAGATCTGATTTCTGAATTGGCTGATGAATTTATTAACGTTGGCGACTTCCACTCTGCTCTCAAGTACTATCACTTGTTGGAATCAAATGCTGGATTTGTGAATGTAAGTGGACTGTTCACTTGTTTTCCTTATCATGTTTCATTTAAATATCTGCTGGTTTGGATCTCTTAAAGGTGGACATAGAGCTGTTGATGGAATAATTAAATAAAACGAAAAAAAGCTCCTCAGGAGTTGTCTCAGACTTTCCTCTCTATAATATGGTCTCTTTGGAATTTCTCAAAGCGATTGCTGATATTAGTCATATAGAATATATTAGTATTTTAGTGCTGCAAAACTTTGTTACCCTTGAGAGCGTTGTGTTGCGGTTGTTTATCAACTAAGTTTCACCCATGTGGCAGCATGTCTTGTTTTTGTATATTGTTTAGGATGCTCTCTTTGTTTAGATGCTACTGGAAATGGTGACGTTTTTTCCTCAAGAAGGTATTCACACTTATTGTCCGTCTGCTTGCGTCTTTCTGCTAATTAATGTTATGATGTCCTTGTAGGATGGCTATTTGCTTCTGAAAATTGCTCGCTGCTATAAGTCACTGGCAGAAAGAACACAAGCCATTGGTTTCTTCTATAAAGGTACTTCTTCATTCTGGATATCCAGGGGTTGATGCAATTGGTTTGATATTTGTACTTACTAAAAGGAAGGAGCTTCTCGATGCCATGTGTTCATTTTGTTCTTTCCATAAACCATTTTGCTTACTGTTTTTAGTTAGTTTTCTTCTGGAAGGCTTAGTGTGTGCTTACCTGAAAAGTGGCCCATGGGTTTTAAAACTCGAATCTTCTCTGTTTAGTTATAGATGTTCTCGTTTCTATTTTCTTCTAGTTTCTCTGTAATCATATCATGTTTAGCTTCCATTTGACTGAACACTGAAGTTTCTTTTTTCAGCTTTGAATGTACTCAATGACATTGCCGCACGGTTAACTCTGGCTTCACTGCTCCTGGAGGATGACAAACGAGATGAAGCTATATTTGTGTTGTCTCCTCCAGTAAATCCAGGTCAATACCTGTTAGTATGATATCTTTTGGTTCTCTAATCTAGCAAGCATAATGAGATTTCTAATCCCATGCATCCATTTCCTAAGATCTTGGTTTTGTATGATCAAATGATAATTAAATAGCTCTTGGACAGGTTAATCCATGAAACCTCGAGTACAGCCGTACTTGTATTACATTTCTTTAATTGTTGGGATATTTTTCTTCCCGTCCAATGGTATAGCTCTACCATGTGGAGAAATGTTTGTTAACATAATTCTGGTGTCTGTATGTTTAGATCCTAATGATGATAAACAGAAGGCATGGTGGCGCAATAGACAGATTAGGATGAGGCTTTGCCAAATCTATCATTCCGAGGGAATGCTTGAGAACTTTGTTGAGACAGCTCTGCAATTGGTTCTTGACTGGGTCAGGTGGAAGGTAATGACCTCAACTACATGTACTTTTGTGATATAGTCTTATATTTTTTTCGTCTTATATAACACCGAAAACTAAGGAGACATATATCTAGTGGGCTTTTTTAAGATTTTTTTGATCCGTTTGAAAATTTCCGCTTTGTGCTAGAGTTTTTCTGATCTAATATTTGGGGATTGTTAAAAATTTAGGTGAAGGGGAAAAGGAAGCGCTCAGTGGATTCTCTGTCTGAACGAGCGAAACAAGAACGAAACAGAAGGCGCCGACTTCAAAGAGATGATCCAACTGTCCTGTGAGTATAATACACACATACACACACATTCCACTTGTCTTGTCATATGTCTGGTGGGTATCTCCTCTCTTTAAGAAGAATACCTAAAACCACACATTAATTTTTGTCTTGAAAACATGTTGAACAAGGTTGAGGGGTTGCGGACCTAAAAAAATGCGCAAAATCAGGGCAACCTTAAATGAAGCAAAGAGAATTAGAGATAGGGTTGCTATTACAGCTCAGAAAGAAGACAACTCTGGTGAATCTGAGGTAATACATTGATGTACACTGTTCAAGTTTACTAGTTTTGTCAGACTACCATGCATACGTAGATTTTACACCTGGTTAAGGTTTTGTTTTTACATTGGGTTAGTCATGCCTGGCAGCGAGGGTAAGAAGTAATTAATATTCATTGTAGATTATTCTTCTCTGCCCATTGTTACTCCGTTCCTTTGCTTCGCTTACCTCTTGTCTTCTCTGTTTCTGTATTCCTCTAAATTTCTTGTGGTCTCTTGTATTGACCGAGTTATGATGGATACTTTTGTTTCCAGGAAGAAGCTATAAGGGATGATGAATACCACCATCTTCTCGTGGATGTAATTTCTCAGGCCCTTGTGTTATTTTATCGAATGTGTAGAATTGCTTGTCCATTAAGCTTTTCTTGCTTTCAAATTTCCTTGTTCAGTGGGCAGAATCATGTTGTTTATGTTTGGTTACGAAACCCTAAGTTGTATGTTGCAGTTGTGCAAGGCATTGACATCGTTGCAAAAGTACTGGGAAGCTCTTGAGATAGTTAATTTGGCTCGGAGGTTGGATGCAAAAATGCTGCCTGTTGACAAGAAGAAGGAGCTGCAGTCGCTTGGAGCTCGTAACTTCTTAACTCAAACCCTCAGTTTATATCTTCTGAAGATCTGGATATTTATCATCGTGTAGTTCTATGTTCCCCATGCAAAAGCCTTTATAGTTCTTTTGTTCACTATACACTGATAATTGTCGTGTAGAGGCTTTTGCTTTTGCATACTGAAAGATTAGGGTTTTCTCTTTTGGGGTTAACAGAAATATCATGCGACACTTTGGACCCAAAGCAGTGGTTTGACTGTGTGAGATGTGTTATTCAGCAGCATCCACATCGTTTGGATGCTTGGAACTGCTACTTCAGAGTGATTTCAAGGTAATACAAGGCAGATTTACTCAGAAATTCTTGAGATTAAAAGTTATGAACCGGGTTTTTGTGGGTGGCGTGAAAAGATTGACAAATATCTCATTACGGTTGGAAATCCACAGACTCGGTAGACGAATTTCCACGGAAGCTAAGTTCATGCATCACTTGCGGTCCAAGCACAGAGATTGTGTGCCGCCAATTCTCATTGCGGGTCACCACTTTACCGTTACCAGCCGACATCAAGATGCCGCCAGAGAATACCTCGAAGCATATAAATTGTTGCCTGAGAACCCTTTGATTAACCTCTGTGTCGGTAAGTTTATTTCTTTTCTTTTCTCGTTATTCATTACCAGAAAACATGCAGAAAAGTTCATCATCCTCTCTTTTTCACTGTCTTTCAGGGACTTCCTTGATCAATTTAGCGCTCGGCTTTAGACTTCAGAACAAGCATCAGTGCCTCGCTCAAGGGTTCGCTTTTCTCTACAATAATCTCAGGATTTGCAACAACAGTCAGGTAGTCTTTCGATCTCACTTGTGAAATTCATGGTGTTTTTGTTAGCTGTGGGCACATTTCGGTTATCGGCTCGGTTTTCAAAAGCCTATATCTATTTGGTTCTTATATTAGATTTTGTTCGTTTTCGGTCCAGGTTTAGTTTTCTCTTACAAAAATGCATATGCTCCACAAAAATTTTCGGTTTTCGATTCGGGTTTGAACTTTCCGGTATAAGAAAATAGAAATCTATATCAATATGGTTTCTATACTAGATCCGTTTGGTCTCATTTGTTTGTGATAAAAATGCTCATTTTTCAAAGATTTGTTTTTTCGCATTTACAAAAATCATAACCGTTAAATTTTTGTATCGAATTCGGTTTGTATTGGTTCGGTTTATGCATAACAAAATGCATTTTATGCAGGAGGCGTTGTATAACATAGCCCGTGCGTATCACCACGTAGGGTTAGTAACTTTGGCAGCGCCGTACTACGAGAAGGTGCTCGAAATCCACGAGAAGGAATACCCAACACCAAAACTCCCGAACGAGGATCCGAATGTGGCCGAAGAGCGTAAGCTCGTCAACTGCGACCTCCGCAGAGAAGCGGCACACAATCTGCATCTGATTTACAAGAACAGCGGGGCGTTCGACCTCGCAAGGCAGGTCTTGAAGGATCACTGCACGTTCTGAAGTATTAAGGTTATTATTATGCTCCTAGTATTGTATAAAAAACATGCATTGTGTATATATACTAAAGATGCATGTGCGAATATGAATTTTGTAAAATTTTTTTAAATTAAAATCAATAAGCATTTGTTATATGCCAATAATAACTCAGGAACTCTAACCAATTAATCTTTTCTTCGTTCAGACAAATTCTATAAAAAAAAAAAACAGGGTGTCCCAAAAAAACTCCAGGTTTGATGGTACGAATCTGTCGGTAAAATTTATGGGTTTGGGCTTAAGAAATTAAGGCTTGTTTGTCTAACCCGACCCGAAATTTACGGATAAAAAATGGAGCAAAGATGAGCTACGATCTTGTACCACGTGATAAGCTACGTGTTAAATTTCGACTCCTTATGTGGCACTAAAATAACATGTAAGATGTCAATTAAGGGAGTTTACCGTCAACATTGGTCAATATTTAAGCTAACACTGTTTGGTAAATTTAAAATTTTTAACGATGATTTTTTCAAATTAGAAAATTTATTCATCACCGTAAAAGGTTTAAAAAATAGTTTTTTTGACGTTTTATAAGTTTATGTTAAGAAACTTGCAAAATATTATATCTATATTTACTCTCCTTGTAATATTTTTATTATTTAGTTTATAAAATATTGTTTCACATTTCTGTAAACCCATAAATAGACATGTGTAAATTATTTTCAAAACACACAAAATTCTTCCTTCTTCATATTGAGATTCCTGAGATCTTAGAACGAATCATATTCCTAAAAGATCGATTCTAGGGTTGCGCAGCGGAGGTAAAACAAAAATTTGATGAAACCCTAGAACCATGCATACATGCTTACGTAGAAACGTTAGAACGCTTATCTCAATCGATCCGGGACCTGTTTCAATTGATGCGTTCGTCCGATCACTTATGGCAAGAAGAATACCTCGCCAACGGTTGGAACTTGTCTGCTAGGATCCGAATCAACTATTCAATATAATGCTTCGAGAAAACGAGACTTCAAAAAAACTCTTAGACCTTTTGGATCTCACAAAAGTTTGCCAAAAAGTCTCCAAAGTGGACTCCCTCAATTAAGGTTTCAATCTCCTTCTTATAAAGTGATTTAACCCTAATTTTGGTTTATTTTTCGAAAAATCCGAAAACCTGGAATGGACGGTCCAAATTTGCACGTGGACAATCCGTTCCAGCATGACAGAACGGACGGTCTGCGTCTCACGTGGATCGTCCGTTCCAGCATGCCAAAACAGACGATCTGCGTCTCACATGGACCGTCTGTTCCAGACTCCGGAATGGACCGACCACGCATATGGACCGTTGGGCCTAGACCTGCCGGGCCATAGGGTCTGGCCCTTGCAGTCCGCCGGGTCTAGACCCTTTCGTCTCGATTTTTCGTCGTTTTTCTCGTGTATTCGTCCTTCCCTACGTGTGTGACCCTGTAGGCTCATTCGATATAGGAGTATAACCCGAAATCTCTATTTCGGATATACAAGTCATAGGCGGTCTCTAGTAAGACACTATGACTACCTATCTCGAATAGAGTTTGTTCGTGATCTTAAGAACGCTAGTGATAATTCTGGCTGATGATCCTTTTGCATCACGATACCATATGTCGAACATAAGGCATGGAGAAACCATCTTATCTGATTCGACTACTTTCTCATTCACTGAGTTCGACTGTACGAAATAGACAACGTTCGTCTATAGTGTGACCACACATTTCTACAGTCTCGCTCACATGAGGGGCCCAACGATATTTCTCTCTTTTACGAGAGGTGCAAATCTCGTCTTGACTATTTACAATCCAGCATATGATTCATGTCGTACACTATACACGCCTTTATAGTCATGTTATGCAGGACGTTTGACGTATTCAAAGTACGCAACTCCTCATGTTAGATTCCGTAGATATCTCAGATCATGGGATCCAATCATGTAACTGTCATATGAGATTCAAGTCATCGCTAGTCCATATGACAATCTCATGCGGATCAATCCAATATTCCATTCTCCAACGAATACCTATGATTGCGATCGTATCCAATACCTATGATCATCTCTATGATCATCAATCACACATCATATTAGTTTTATTATATCATTATTCTCACAATAACACACGACTAGGGAGTTTAATATTGTTCATAACAATACACGGATTTCATAACATATCAAGTATGCAAAATATGTGATGAATAAAACACTCATCCATAAACATAAAAGTGTCAATACATCAAATGTATCATAATAAAGCTCGCAAAACAGTACATCATAGATCACTAAACCAACACTTTATATATCTCTTTTCTCTTTTCCATATATCTTTTTAACATTCTTAGTTATAATTATTTTTACAACATGTTATCAGGACGAAATTTTTCAAGGTAATTTTATTGTTATTTATTTATATATTTTCTTTTATATTATATTATAAAAATTATTATAACTAAGTATGCTCTACACTCATCATATATATGGATCTTGTATATCAGAAAAGTTCTAATTCTATCTAATAACTTATACTTTTTATTTCGATTATTTTTATAGTTTTATCATGTCGAACCTGACCAATCTCGACTTTGAAGTCCTTGATATTACTGGCAAGAATTACTTGTCATGAGTGTTGGATGTAGAGATCCATTTGGAGTCTAAAGGTCTCAAAGAGACAATTGTTGCATCGAATAAATCATTCAACCAAGATAAAGCGAAAGCAATGATATTTCTTCGCCGCCATCTTCATGATGGATTAAAAATTGAGTATCTTACTTATAAAGATCTGGCACATCTTTGGAAATCATTAAAAGAAAGATATGATCATCAAAAAACTGTGATTCTCCCAAAAACACGTTACGATTGGATGCATCTTCCCTTTTAGGATTTTAAATATATTAGTGAATATAATTCGGCTATGTTTCGAGTCAGTTCATAAAAAGAAATTGTGCGGTGAACTGTTACTGATTCTGATATGATGGAGAAAACATTATCGTGAAATTTCATGCATCGAACGTGCTCCTGCAACAACAATATCGTGAAAAATGGTTTTACAAAATATGGAGAATTGATCTCTTGCATGTCTCCTTGTTGGTGAGCAAAACATCGAATTATTAATAAAAATCATGAGTCCCGTCCTACTGGCTCTGCTCTATTCCCTGAAGCGAATGAGATAACATTCAATAATCATGGTCGTGGTCGTGGTCGAAGCTATGAACGTGGACGTGGATGAGGGAGAGCAAGAGATTATTTTTCTGGTGGTCGAAAGCAACTATAATAAGAGGGATAAAACCCAAGAAAACTATGATATATAGTGGAATGAATAAAAGGGTAAAAGAAAGTATATCCCACCGATGCGGGATGAAAGGTCATTGGTCGCAGATCTGTCACACTCCCAAGCATTTTGTTAATCTTTATCAAGAATTCTTGAAGACCAAAGAGAAAAACATTGAAACAAATTTCACTGCTGACGGTTCCAGTGATTTCACCGAAGGTCTTGATAATCTGATACATCTGAATCCAGCTGATTTCTTTATCAATCCTGAAGATGGTATACATGATTGAGATGTGGCATTTGAGAGATATAAAATGATGTTATTTCTAGGGAGAGAAAAAAGTATGTACTGCACTCTAATTTCCTTCACCAAGTTTTGTTTTACTAGTTTTTTAGTAAGGTTTTTAACGAGGCGGTATCAAAATATATCTTTTGATCAATAAACATTCAAGGGGGAGTGTTAAAAAACTTACAAAATAATGAATGTTTATATTTACTCTTCTTGTAACATTTATGTTATTTAATTTATAAAATATTGTTGCATATCTTTGTAAACCTATAAATAGACATTTGTAAACTATTTTCAAAACACAAAAAAAAAGAAAGAATAATATAAATTAAATAATTTCCCTTCTTCATATATCTCTTTTGGCTTTTTTATATCTCTTTTTAGCATTCTTAGATATTATTATTTTTACAACAATTTAAAAATTTTGATGAGATTTATCCTTATTTTTTCCAAAGGCATCTGTTGGAAAACGTTCTGTCGTTTTATGTTTTAATATTAGAACTGTATGATATTTTTAAGACAAGAACCCGACAAGTAGTTCAGTTTCGCTGTCCATAAATGTTCATACGGTAGAATCCTCAACGCTCTTAGGACTAGAGGGAGATTCGGAATTTAAGCATCGGGTCCGGATTCTGATCAATCAGCTCCTAGGGTTTCTGGTAATTCAGACCGGGAAGGGGGAAAAGGTGAAAAATTTCGCGGCGAAGATGGAGGGATGGGATCCGAGCACGAAGTCGACGCTGACGCAGATCCTGCTCCTGACGACGAAGGCGGGTCCTAGAGATGGACAGGCATGGACGCAGAGGCTGAAGGAGGAGTACAAATCTCTGATCGCGTACACGCAGATGAACAAGTCCAACGACAACAACTGGTTCCACATCTCCGCCTCGAATCTAGAGGGGACTCGTTGGACGGGCAAGTGTTGGTACGTCCACAACCTCCTCAAGTACGAATTCGATCTCCAGTTCGATATTCCTGTGACTTATCCGGCAACTGCTCTGAAGCTTGAATTGCCGGATATTGACGGCAAGACCCATAAGGTAAAATTGGGTTCTTCTATCGGTTTGTGCTTCTTTTTTTTTTTTTCGGAAGAGATTATTATGAGTCTGGAACAGACGGTCCATGTGAGACGCAGATCGTCCGTTTTGGCATGCTGGAACGGACGATCCACGTGAGACGTAGACCGTCCGTTCTTTTAGGAGTAACATTTGTAGATGCAGATTGTGAACATTATCCGTCTTCGTTTGACATTATCATTGAGAAATATCGAAATTATGAAAACACATAGATAAATAAATTATGAAAATAAATATATGCAATACATAATAATTCTGTATAATCAAAATTTGTATAATAACATGAATATAAATGTCTAAAAAAATATGAACGTGAACACGGTAGAAAATATTAGAAAATAAATATGATCGTATAAATTACATACATAATGCATATCGTAACAGATGCTAGTGCTAGTGGCAGAAAGATGTACATATAAAAATAATAATAGATAAATAATAGATGAGTGGAACATGACAGAAGAACATTGCAAAGACTTTTATTCTCTCTCTCTCAGGGAATAGAAGAGAGTTTGTCTCTCTCATAATCAACAAAAAAGCTTGCCTATCCTTCACAATTAGTGTGACAATTAGTGTCGAAAAAAGCCTATAGGGCCGGGCTCCGGGCCGAAGATTTTAGGCCCGTTGGTTTTCCGGACCGGGCTTCGGGCTTGAATTTTTTTAAAAAATTATAAACAAATTAAAATAATAAAAATACAAAAAATTTTAATACGTGATAATAAAAAGATAAAAAATAGATTACAAAGTTATATATTTTGATCTAATATAAATTAAATTTTTTTTTTTTAATTTTATATGGTAATAAATTTTTAAAAATGATAAATTATTATATTTTTCATTTGGAATAAGTATTTGAAACTAATAGTATTATAATTTTGATTATATCATTTATGAAAATATTATATCCTAAATTATTTAGTATTAAACAAGTTTTTAGTTTTTAGAACTTTCTATATTATATAATATTTATATATTTTTTATACATGTATATACATTATAAAAATATATATATATAAAAGATTGAATAAATGTATACATATATGATTAAATATGTGCGAATATATATATGTATATCTATATTTACCTATATACACATATATTTTGAACCCGCTTTTGGCCCGCAATTTTCTGGGCCGGGCCGGGTATCGGGCCTTGATTTGTGAAGCCCAAGCCCGTAAATTTTACGGGCGGGTTCGGGTCGGGTATCGGGCCTCGGGCTATTTTGACACCCCTACACTGCACCCATCTAATCACTCATCTTGCAATGTTATATTAGTTCCCCGATCTCGACCACCCCAAAGCCATTCAAAATCTTTAACTTTATCCTTGACCACCTGAGCTTTCTACAAACCTTTGGGGATTCATGGAAGCAAGCGGGACCGCAAGCCTCGACTCTATCGGAGATCCATCTCAAACTCAGGAAGCAAAAACTCCCTATTAAATCCTTTTGTAAAGAACATTATGGAGGTATATGTTGGGTTTCCTGGGATCTCATGAGCGAATCTAATTCCTAAGAGATCGATTCTAGGGTTTGCGCAGCGGATGTAAAACAAAAATTTTAATGAAACCCTAGAACCTATCATGCATGTGTTGGGGTTCCCTTCGGGTTCCTAGCATGCGATCTCATCGATCTAGGGTTTGGATTCTAGGTTTCACGCAGCGGAAGGAAAGATCTAAACCTAGCCAAACGTCACACAAAAACCAATTGTGCAATAACCCGAACAATCGTGTATATCGTCGTGGGATTCGAATACTTACCTCGTTCTTTCAAGATCTGGAAGTATCAATCGATCCAGGGCCTGTTTTAATCACCAAGAGTTGAAAGCACAACTCCTCTACACGTATCCACACCGGCGGGATGAATTCCAACGCTTTGGAACGTATCTGCTAGGATTTGTGAAGAGAAAACCGATGTCCTTGACTTGGAATCGATATTCCAATCTCTAGAACTCAAAATCAAGCTTCTCTAAGCTCTCATCAGTGTCTTGGACGTATGAGGTTCTTATTTTAGGGTTTGTGGCGGCTCTCATATTAATTAGGATGGCCCAAAACCCT